GAGTGAGTGAGTGAGTGAGTGAGTGAGTGAGTGAGTGAGTGAGTGAGTGAGTGAGTGAGTGAGTGAGTGAGTGAGTGAGTGAGTGAGTGAGTGAGTGGGGTGGGTTCAATAAAGACAAAGCATCACTAACCTGAAATTTGATGTTTTTTTTCAAGCTACAAATGTAGCTGTGACTCTGGCTGGAGTGGCCAGAACTGTGACATTAACAACAACGAATGTGAGTCCAACCCTTGCATGAATGGGGGAACCTGCAAAGACATGACCAGCGGATACCACTGCACATGCAGAGTCGGCTTCACTGGTCAGTTCCTGTTTTCTTTCTTTAAAATGACACAACGTGTATGTTGGTTAATATCTAACCCCAAGAATCATTTCTAATCTCGTCGCTGTAGGACCGAACTGCCAAACTAACATCAATGAGTGTGCATCCAATCCCTGCCTCAATCAGGGAACCTGTATTGATGATGTGGCTGGATACAAATGCAACTGTTTACTGCCATACACTGGTATGATAGTGTGACTTATCTTTCACTGCACTGAAACAGTTAGACTATTTCCTGATTTTTTTTTATTTTTTTGTGGCTTTTGTTGCTGTCTCAGCTGTATGTCCAGGTCTGAAAATTCAAAGATAGCCCTTGAGTTTCCGCACAAAGGTGTTATCCTATTCCGCCCTGTGTTGTCTGAGAAAACATCAGCCAACTGCTAACAACGGGGACACCTTGTTTTTGGCATCTCTGTGTGGAAAGATCTGCTTGCCTGTTTTGCAGGGATAATATAGTGTGGGTGTGTTGTGGAATAACATGCCAAAGCAGTTGATATAAGCTGCAGATGCAGACTCTGCTCCGAGCTATAGGCAGACTTCCATTGCATCCTGCTTCCTGTCTTAGATCACACAATAGCAGGAAACAGGAAGGGCCTTCCTGTTTGGCTAAGTCATCGTGGAAATGGATAAGGAAGTGGAATGGAAAATGGAATTTAGTGCTTTTTAATAATTGAGTTTCTTACAAATATAGTGAAATGCAAAATAGTCGTATTTGTTTTTGTAATTTGGTGTTTATGTTAGAGATTTGAAGCAGCTCCCACTTATTGTCAGCCAATGCTGACATAGATGTTTTGATGTGTTACCAGGTGTAAACTGTGAGACCCTGCTGGCCCCCTGCAGCCCTCGGCCATGTAAAAACGGTGGCATGTGCAAAGAGGCTGAAGACTACCAAAGCTTCTCCTGCATCTGCCCTGAAGGATGGCAAGGTAGCATCAAGTCTTGGTTGTGTGTTTATGCATGTCTCTTTATTTCTAATCCACTGGAGTTAAAAAAATGTTTTCTACAATTCTTGTTTTCAAAAGGTCAGACGTGTGAAATCGACATCAACGAATGTGTAAAACATCCATGCCGCAATGGTGCTGTGTGCCTTAACACCATGGGTGGCTACCAGTGCAAGTGCAAGGCGGGTTACACTGGCAGGAAGTGTGAGACAGACGTTGATGACTGCAAACCAAGTAAGCCCCCGACCTGAAGCATCGCAAGTTCCTGCTCATTGGTTCGAACGTAAACTGTCATTTTCCATCCTCTTTTCTGCGTTTCAGACCCTTGCAGTAATGGAGGACTGTGCCACGATAGCATCAACAGCTTCGCGTGTACCTGTCTGCCAGGGTTCCGTGGCAGCCGCTGTGAGCAGGACATTAACGAATGTGAGAGTAACCCGTGCAAGAATGGAGCCAACTGTACCGACTGCGTCAACAGCTACACCTGCACCTGCCCGCCGGGCTTTAGTGGCATCAACTGTGAGATCAATACTAACGACTGCACTGACAGGTAGCTCATTTTGAAATGATTGAGCTCGCTTACTAAATGAGCTAAACAAATGTGAGGAACGGGTTTACTTTAACTTGATTTTCTTTCTGTAACTATACAGTTCTTGCTTCAACGGCGGCACCTGTGTTGATGGAATTAATACCTTCACCTGCCTATGTCTAACTGGATTCACTGGCAGCTATTGTCAATATGATATAAATGAGTGTGACTCCAAGCCGTGTCTCAATGGAGGCACCTGTCTTGACGGTTATGGGACATACAAGTGCACCTGTCCTCATGGCTACACTGGAGCCAATTGCCAGGTAGGGACTTGGTGTAAATATTGACACTTTGATACTTTCACATTCCACCTATGTTTAGTTTATTGCAGGGGTGTCAAACTCATTTTCACCGAGGGCCACATGAGCGTTATGGTGGCCCTCGAAGGGCCATTTGTAATGAACTTTGATGTTTCATGTTTAACTTTGACTAAACAGTGTTTTAACACGTCCTCTTTTTAACACTGATAAGAACAAAGTGTATGACTGACTAAGCCTGCAATAAATACAGAAATATTAATAAAAGTAAAACAAAGTTTTACTCACTGAGGAG